ACCACATAAACCAAAAAAAAAAAAAAAAAAAAAAAAAAAAAGTTGTATGTAATAACAGTATAACAGTGATTAAGAATACAGTGGACCAAAATGTATCCTAACATGTGAACAGAAGTATAAGATTCAAAAAACAGCTAATTCTTTGAAAAGCTTCAATGTACTTACATATAAAAGATGCTTATTGGCTCTTGTTTCCTGCAGTGCATTGAATATTTTTATTATACCATGGCGGGCATTTTGCTGTCCAACAAGGCTCTGAAGTGCATCTGAAAAATTAAGTTTATATTCTTTGCTGCTATCGATAAAGTGCATAATGCATAGATATTCAGTGAAGAGAGAGTATTACATGACACATACACAATAAAGGCACTGAAGCCTCAGGAACATGAATGATTAGTTCTCTAAAAAAGAAAAAGTTAGGGACCAGCAGTTAGCGTAATGGCTATGTCGCTGGACTCCCACGTAGTCGACCGCGGTTCGAGTCCCAGATCCGGTGGCTTAAACTCACGCCGGGCGCGTGTGCGTGCGTGCCCAAGATCCCGAGAGGAGAATGGAGGAGAAGGGATTGCGGCGTGGCCATCCCCCCTGGGGGGTGATTTCCTGCTTTCTATCTCTCTGTCTCTCTGTCTGTCTGGTGAGCGCACGCGCCCTATAGCAAAAACCTCTCCAAAAAAAAAAAAAAAAAGAAAAAGTTATTAAGAATTTTTTTTCTTATGACTTCTTTTAAATATTATGACTTAACATTTAATTGTTCATCTTTATGTTTCTTCATTTGTACGTTAATACAATATTGTTTTTGAAAACATGTACGCACTGTATGTCAACCAAATTGAAGATATTACCATATATATATCATTTTCAACAAAAAACTTTACATTTTTATGTCTGTTAAACATTTTTTTCCTGAGCCTCTTCCTTTCACCACCTACTAAGCACCCCCTCCCACACAATATCTGGTATCAACACTTGCCCTCCCTACTATTAGATCTTTGAACCTTTCGATTTCTGTCACAGAGCACAGACATTCAGTACATAATGAGTGGGGATACACAATGTTTGTTTTTCATAGTTTGGCTTGCTTCTTTTAGCATTAAATCTTCTATATTCATCCACTTTGTATCAAATGACATGGTCTCACTATTCTTTATGGCTACGTATAGCACAGTATCTATGTACTATGTTTTGTCAATCCTATAATCCCTTCTTGGGCATTTAGATGATTCCATGTCTTAGCAATTGTGAATGCTACTGCAGTAAACATGAAAGTGCAAGTATCGGAGTGTTGTCCTATCATTTGGGTAAATACCGAGGAATGAGATTATAGGTTTTTGTAGGTTTTTGAAATCTCTATTTTGTTTTCCAGTGGCTGTAATAATTTACATTCCCACCAACAGTACAGGAGGGTTCTCTTCATTACAACTTTGCAAGCACTTGTCATCCTTTATTTTTTGATCATAGCTATTATGACTGAGGTAAAGTGGTGTCTCATTGTGGTTTTGATCTGCATTTCCCTCATAAGAAACACTGAACATATTTTTATATGCATTTTTGGGCATTCATATGTCTTAGAGTTGTCTGTTTAACTCATTTGCCCATTTTTTATTTGGATTACTCATTTGTTTTGCCAGTGGGTTGCTTGAATTATGTTTATGTTCTGGTTACCAATCACTCGTCTGAAGCATAGTTTATAAATATTGATTAATTGGAAAAGTCATGGTGCATTTTTGCATAGAAAAACATAGAAAAATCGTGACTCTTCTGGAGACCCCAGCAGTTCCTATTCTGTGGGTTGTCTCTTCACTCTAATTATTGCTTCCTTTGCTGTGCAGAAGCTTTTTAGCTTGAGCTTGATGTAACGCCATTTGTCTACTTTCGGAATTACTGTCTATGCTTTAGGGGTCTTAGTTAAGAGATCCTTTTTTGAGAGATTTTTGATATAGAGCACATGTGCTCTACAGAGAGACAGAGAAAGACAGAGACAAAGTGAGAAGTCACTGCGGGGAGAGCCGCACCACAATCCCTTCTCCTCTCAGGATTTTGGGCACGCATGCACATGAGCCAGGCATAAGTTTCAATCCTCTGGTTCTGGGACCTGAACTGCAGTCAGCCATGTGGAAGTCCAGCAACATAACTATTATGCCATCTGTTGGTCTCTTATTTAAGAAATATTTGCCTACTCCAATATCATCGTGTGTTTTCCATCAGTAGTTTTAGGATTTACATTTATATAAATCATTGATCTTTTTATTTTTTTAAGAGATTTTTATTTAGGGTGTGTGTGTTTGCTGGAGAGACAGAGAAAGAGAGATAGAGAAATCATCTACCTGGGGGATGCCCACGCCATAATCCCTTCTCCATTCTCCTCTCAGGATTTTGGGCACACATACACATGGACCCAGCATGAGTTTCAAGTCGCTGGTCTGGGACTCAAACCACAGTAGGCCACACGAGACTCCAGTGCCTTAACCATCACACCACTTGCTGGTCCCATTATTGATCCATTTTGAGTTGATTTTTGTTTATAGTGAGAGACAAGGGTTTAGTTTGATTTTTCTCCGGGTGGATATCCAATTCTTTCAGCACCATTTACTGTAGAGACTTTCTTTTTTCTATTAGATTGTCTTGTGTCCTTTGTCAAAAATCAGTTGGATGTATGATCTGGGGTTTATTTCTAGATTCTCTACTCTGTTCCACTAGTCTATGTGTCTGTTTTTTGCCAGTACAATGCTGTTTTGATTTTTTTTTTTTTTTGGAGAGATTTTTACCGGAGGGCCCGTGCGCGCCCCCACACGGGCCCAGGGGGGATGGTCACGCCGCAATCCCTTCTCCTCCATTCTCCTCTCGGGATCCTGGGCATGCACGCACACGCGCCCGGCGTGAGTTTTAAGCCACCGGGTCCGGGACATGAACCGCGGTCGACTACGTGGGAGTCCAGCGACATAGCCATTACGCTAACTGCTGGTTCCCGTGATTATTTACAACTTTGTAATATATTTTGAAGTCGTGTAGTCAGTGGACTCCTACTTTATTCTACTTGCACAGTATTTCCCTGGTGATAAAAAGCCTTTTATAATTTCAGACAAATTTTGTAATTGCTCTTTCTATTTCTGTGAAGAATGTCATTGGTAATTTTATCAGAATCAGGTTAAATTTGCGAATTAATTTGGGTAGAAATAATATTATTATATTAATTATTTCAACAAGAATATGAGATGTCTTTCTACTTTTTGTGTCATATTCAATTTCTGTTTTCAGTTTTTTGTAGTTTTCCTTGTAGCAGTCTTTCACCTCTGGTTAGATTTATTCCTGTTTTCTTTTTATTTTTGCAGTTATTGTAACTGCTTCCTTCAATTATACCTCAGTCTGTTCATTCTTGGTGTTTAAAACTGCTCTAGATTTTTGTATACTGATTTTGTATCCTGCTACTTTACTGAATTCATTGATCAATTCAAGTACTTTTTCATGGATTATTTCGAATTTTCTAGATATATAATCATTATCATCTGCAAACAGTGACAATTTCACGTCTTCTTTTCCTGTCTGCATGCCTTTTATTTCATTCTCTTGTTTGATTGCAATGGCTACGACTTTCATAACTATGTCGAAAAAGAGTGGGAAAAGTGAGCAGCCTTGTCCAGTTCCAGGTTTTAGTGAGAAAGCTTCCAATGTTTTCCCATTCAGTATGATGTTAGATATAGGTCTATAAGATATGGATTTTATTGTGTTGATAAGTGTACCTTTTATACCTATTTTTCTGAGAGTTTTGATCATGAAGGGATGCTGTATTTTACCAAATACTTTTTCTGTGTCAATTGGTAAGATTATATGGTTTTTATCTTTCTTTCTGTCAATGTGATATATTACATTTATTGTTTTGCATATGGTGAACCAACCTTACATCTCTGGGATAAAGCCTATACAGTCATGTGGTATAATCTTTTTAATGTGTTGTGGGATTTGATTTGCTAGTATCTTGAGGATTTTTGCATCTCTATTTATCATAAATATTGGTCTGTAGTTTTCTTTTTTTGTTATGTCCTTGTCTGCTTTTGGGGTCAGTAATAAAACAGACAATATTATAACTGATATAACAGAACTACAAAAGATCATGAAAGAACACTATAGGCAACTATATACCAAAAAAACAAGAAAACCTAGATGAGACAGATAAATTCCTGGACACATATAATTTACCTAGACTGAACCAAGAAGAAACAGACTGAACAGACCAATAACAAGCAGTGAGATTGAATCAGTAATAAACAGTCTCCCAACAAAGAAAAGCCAGGTCCCGATGGCTTCACTTATAAATCTACAGAATTTTTGAAGAGCTAACTTGAATTCTCAAACTATTTCTAAGGATCCAAAAGGAAGGAACCCTCACACACTCATTCTATGATGCCTCCATCACCTTCATCCCAAAAGTGGAACAGAATTTTTCAATATAAGGCATTTACACAAACTACAATTTTAACAGTTGCTGCTACTAATTTAATAATTAAAATGTTAACATATATTTTATATTCTGTTAGAAATTGCTAAATAATATATATTTAGAATTCTGCTAGAAATTACTCTTAAAACAGTATACTTTAGCAGTATTTCTAAAGCATAACATTTATTATCTAGTCTAAAACATTTTTCTAGTTAAAAATTCTTATTTTTAAGCTAGCCCATGGCCTGTGGTTAACAAGCTGGATCCCTCAGAGCAGACCATGTGTTTCAAGTTCTGGACCCGGTGGCTTGAAGAACATGCCAGGTGCATGTGTGCCCTAAAACCCAGTAAGATGGAGAAAAGGAGAAGGGATTATAGCATGATTGCTCCCCATAGAGAGAAGGGTGCTTTCTCCCTTTCTCTGTCTCTGGCAATCACGTGCACCCTCTGGCAAGTTAAAAAAAAAAAAAATCATATTCTCAGTATAATTTCTTAGCAAGTGATAATAAACGGTTTAAAATGTGATCTTTCCATTATAAATAATGTTTCCTTATAGATAGAAATGAAAAATACCTTAACAGAGTTGACATACTCTTTTTATCTCTTTACTTTTCAGGACAATTACCCAGGCCTCACCTGGAATGTTTTCAAGTAGCTTTTGCCGCGCTCTCAGTTTAGTTTCCTGACTTTGCTCTTCACTTCTGATTGTGGGTGGTGGTGCCAATTTCCCATTTGGCCAAAAAGCATCCCGGAAAACATTGATGTAGTAAACCAACATTTGCTCACTGAAAATCCAGTTCACTGTGTCCCGGATTTGTCTTTTAAGAGAAAAATATTTCTTGGATGAGATTTTCAAAAATGTTATACTCTATTCTCAAAAGGCATTTATCAATGGGTAGGTTAAGATACAGCCTGATCTAAATGTTTGATGAATAAACTAGGAATTGGATTTTTAAACCCTGGCTCTCAAAGTTATTTTTTTTTTTTAGTAATAATGGGTGACCATTTATTCCTAGAGTCTACATTGTCATTGGTACTAACATCTCCAAATATTTGCCAAGCGGTACCTTTTAATTTGTAATGACAAGAACTGGGAGCCTGAGTGATTGGTTTGAAGCTTGCAACTACCCTAACTATACGTCATGCACAAAGCAGTATAAAGTGAAAACATAATCCCACTGGAAGACTGTTGACAGCAATCTGGAAGATCTCCCTGAGCTCCTGGAGTCCTTGGGGAGAACCAAGCTTTGTCATGAGGTGTTTCTTAGTGTTGCTGTGGCAGACAAAACGGGGCAGAATACTCTGACCCACAGAAAGAATACACATGCTCACCAGGCAAAAAAAAAAAGATACTCCCTTGCAAAAATACACCGCTACCCAACCACCTTCCAATTCCTATGGGAATGAAAAGTGGGCAGACATCTGACTTGCAGTTATGAATAAATGACTTTTTATGTTTATCCAGGTCTTCCACATCCCTATTCCATTAGTCAAATTCTAACATGTTCTAAGTCTTAGGCCATCAAGAGACAAGCATAATTAAGCCCAAGAGTACTCGTGAGGTTGGGAGAGGAAGTCTCTGTCAAAAAGGGGAAAAATCATCTTACGGGACCAGCAGTTAGCATAATGGCTATGTCGCTGGACTCCCATGTAGTTGACCGCGGTTCAAGTCCTGCACCTGGTGGCTTAAACTCATGCTGGGCGCGTGTGCGTGCATGTCCAAGAACCTGAGCGGAG